AGGGGGAACTAGTAGGAGAGAAAGACATTCAGGACCAGAATTTCCTTTCATTCTAGATTTAGCCCATTCTTATTCATATTACCCTTCTTTAAAATGCAAATTTACCAAACATTTGCAAAAAATGGTAGTGTGGTCTTTAATGACAGCTCAGAGGCCTCCAGTTTCTTCACTTCAGAGACGCTGGAACTATCAGGCCCTTTCCCACTCATCTGCAGGCCAGACTGCTAACTTAAAGGCCCTAATGACAGACTTCCTGCAGCAATCACTCGTCTTCACCCATAGCACCGTATATCTGTGTTTAGTCTTTCCTTGACTCTTTCTTCCCTTTCAAGTCTTCCATGGAAAGAATGAAAAAGAATGAAAGAATGAAAGAAAGAACGAAAGAACGAAAGAACGAAAGAACGAAAGAACGAAAGAACGAAAGAACGAAAGAACGAAAGAACGAAAGAACGAAAGAACGAAAGAACGAAAGAACGAAAGAACGAAAGAACGAAAGAACGAAAGAACGAAAGAACGAAAGAACGAAAGTTCTGACCTGCTCTGCTGCTTGCTTGAGGCTGCTGTGCTGGCTGTTACAACTACTTACAATGGGGAGGAAGGAGCGCATGCCCCTGCAGTCACGCTAAGGGACTGTGCTGGCCCTTAGGACACGCAGCGGCTAACGGCTGCTAGGCTCACCCTCAGGAACTGAGCCTCTGCGGGGACCACAGTCGTCCTGCTGGGGACATCCCCACCAAGATTTAGGACAATCCAAACTCCCCTCTGACTCCAGAAAAAATATGTCAGGTCATGTCTGATGTAAATTGGAGTGATGCAATGGTGACAGATCTATAGTACGTAAAAGATAAAAAGAACATTACTGCAGTAGAGGAAATTGGACTAAGGAGACGCAGGCTTAGTTCTCAGCTCAGCTACAGACTTCTTGCATAATTGTAGAAGTTCCCTTACTTTTTGTTGGTTTGTAACTAAAATCACATATTTTCAAGGAGCTAATTTATACTGCGTTTGGAGAGAAGGAAGAGGCAGGTGAACTTGCAGGAGTAACCCCCAGACATGTACAACCTTGTCCTAGATTCAGCGGAAGCAGGGAAAACATATATGAGAGAACACAGCAGTTCTGAATCTGCCAGTCTGTCTGACAATAGAAACTTTTAAAAAGTGATTGCTCTGCTTGCATTGCTGTGAATCAATCAAAGCATTATATACCAGTACCTATATACTTGTCTATTTGTTGATTCACACTCAGGTGAGGTAACTGGTGACCACAATTAGCAGTACAGAACCACCCCTGTTTTAAACCCCCTTCCTATGACTTGTCCCATTAGGCTTTGCTGACAGCTTATATTTGCTAGCAAAGAAATAGCACATGTGAGGTGATATTTGGGATTTAGAGTATTATAATGGCTTCCTATGTGGCCACTTTTAAAAACTAATTCGGAGAAAATCAGACTATATAAAATTGAATCATAAAGACACTGACTACAGACAGACTAATCTCCTTCAGAGGAACAGCTACTGATAGATTATCTTGCTAGACTAGAGGCACATAGGTCACAAAAACAATCTGTGGTCACATGGTCACATCCCCAGGCAGCCTTTGATATGACTGTTTCAAAAAAAAAAAAAAATCTGTCCCAACTAAAGCAGAACTGCCATGGTAGGTTAGAAATGCCTTCATGAGAGTCAGCCTAGTCACAGAAAATGCAGGTATGCATCTGAAATGCAGAAGTTGCAGAAGTTTGAACTGAAGTTGCAAAGTCAAAAGCTCAAAAGTTAGGAAAAGACAGACTTAAGATGCCTTTTTTTGAATTATTACATCAGCACATACACTCTTCCCCTCCCTCCTTACCTTATGGACAGTGCACACAATGCAAAACTATTCAGTATTTCGTAGCTGTCTCACTTTTCACTGCATGGCCTCAGGACATCATTGAAAAATGGCCAATATGAAGAAAAAAAGTTTTTAGAACGCTGGTGGATTATCCCATGACAGTCAACTCTCAGTACAAATACATCACAAATATTATGATTTCTCTAACAGCTGTGAAGCGAGACACTTATATAGTCCTCATTTCCAATTTGGATTTTGAAGAAATTAAGACAAAAAGTGTCTATGAAGTGCACACGCTGCGTTTGATACGTTTCTGAGAGTTTTAAATTTCCCTTTCTATCGTGCTTTATGTGTTTGAGACATTGCTTCTACAGAGTCAGTTAAAGCTGTTTGTGCTCAGCCCTCCTGCAAATTAGCCACCAACATCTAAAACTAGGTATCAATAAAAGATGACTTGAATGATTTCGCAACTATCGCATCAGAACTCTAGGACACAAGGGAGGGATAAAATCCAATTTTAAGTGCAGAGTTTAACTGCCAAATATGAGATTTTTTGTTTTCGTTTAGTATGTATCTTCTAACTACTGTAAGCAATAAGCAGCAGTGCTCTAGCTGAAATCCCTCTTCAGTACACTATGCAATTTGAGCTCTAGCTTTGGGGTAAATGAGGCATGGATGGAAACTGGACAAAACAGGGCATGATAATGACTGCTTTACAATGCAGCTGCAAGGAAGCCAAATTCTGTTGCACAAGCAACCTTGACTTCAGTATTTTTGACTTTGCAACCATGGTAACATTTTAACTATCTGACATATATTTGTGATACTTTATTCTAAACTGAAAAAAGAAACCAAAAAACCCCCAAAAAAATTCCAGTATATGACATCCTAATTGCAATTATGAGTGATTAGCAGAGCTGCAACCTTTACCTTTGGCATATATATCTGTTTCTTAATTAAAAATACAGATAGCAAGTAGCAATCTAGTTTCATTACCAGGGTGGGCCTGGAAGAGAGGAGTATGGGGCTCTCTGACAAACAGCTTCACAAATATTTGCCGATAATGAAATGGTAAAGAATCAATTTGCAGCTCTGTGGGGAAGTCCGCTCCCTTGCGGACATATGCATCTGCCTATTTCTTCCAAAATTTCCAAAACGTTTCTCAGAGACGATTTTTGTCCTGTCCATAACTCTTACTTCCTCCACTGACTGTCACTCTCATCACCCAGATGTTCACTCTCTTTCCACCTATCTCCTGATCCCAGCAACAAACCATTCAAAGAGCAAACCTGGCCTTCAACTCTCTGCCTCCTGCCCAATTTCAATAAATGTCAGTTCCTTCTGTTCTGGTTCCCTACAAAATCCATCTCTTTTTCTCCTCTTCTCCACCACTGTTTTCCATTTGCCTACATTCCTTATTCCCCCTCCCATCAAATTCCTGTTTGCATTTTATTTTCCTGGTACATGCCTCTGAAATTTGTTTTAGTACTGAGTTTTTCTCACAAACCCAGCCTTCTCTCCCCCTACTGCCGTCATCTTTCCCTCTGCCAGGTTCACAGCAAAGATAGCCTCCCTTTCTCTTCCCCAAGCTCCCCTACCACCATCTACCCGGTCTCATCTTTCTGCGCCATCCCAGTACAAAGGCATTCTTATCATCCTAGTCATTTAATCTGTTTCTCCCTACCTTCAAATGAGAAAAAAAAATGTAACGGAAAAAATGAGGACAAATTGTAAGGGCTTACATTATTGCATCATGTTTTCCCAATGGAAGACTGTGTGCAGATCAAGCAACATCTTATCAAGACTGTTAGCAACATTGTTGGCCCAGATATCTCACATACATAAAAAGTGAAAAACTTCTAATCTCCCGTGTCTGCCAACAGTGGATTTTGCTGCAATTCGTGTAAAAAAGATTTTAAAAAAATTTCTAACAAGTTAGTCTTCTGCATTCAACCTTGCAACGCCTTGCTTTAACCTGAAATCACGCACACATTTTAGGGTGATGATTCACCATCGCTGGTGATGCTTTGCAGAAGATGGCTGTCCCACTGCATTACTCTTCCCAAAGGAAGGGGAAATCATCCCCTTTGTTTCTAAGAAAGCTGAACTTTGGCAGCCACCTTGAAAGACATGACTCAAGTCATCAGGTGCTGGGCAGCATGGGATTGAAAAAGACAAAAATAGCTCAAGAGAGCAGAGGAAAGACATCTATATAGAGGAACACTAGAGAAAACTAAAAAAACCAAGATAGTGTCAGAAGCAGTAGTAAGAGTGAAACAAAAGCATAGGAACGTACTATGGCACAGGGGAACACAGTATTGGATAAGCGAATGAGGAAAGGAAAATAGGGAATTGTCCTGCTTTTTCATAATCTAGTGCTGTATCTCTTAACAGACCCATTAGCCCACTGGAAAACTGTCTCACTGTAGGTGACTCACGAGCACATGTGCTTGTAGAAATCTCTCTTCAAATACATTCAGTTGTATGTCCCTCCTCTGCTTTGGCTATGGGCTAGCCATGATTCCCTTCCACAGTCACTGGTACCAGCAGAGGATCTACTCACTCACTGCACACTTCTGCAAACAGGATGGCTGCTAAATCCCCAGCGAACAAAGCTTTGGTAAAAGACTCCAGCTTTCTCACTACAGCCGGTATTCTTGGCATCATCTTTAAAAAGTTCACCTAACTATTTCTGTCTGTGTAACCATTTGAGAATGCTAGTCTTATGGAGTATCAGTTACCTTGTACTGAGTGGTTAAAAAGTGACCTCAGAATTACTCACACCACCACACTACATTTTATTACTTTTGCATACTCTTAACAGTGCTGACTGACAGTTACTTTTGTAGTGGTGACACTGAAGTCTTGTGACCGTATAGTATAGCAGAGCTCTGCTGCAATTACAGTATATATTACTTAAATAAAAGTTCTTTGATCTAATCCGCAGTTCTTTTGTCCACAAACTTCCAGTGAGAGTTGCTCCATTACAAAAAAAACCCAAAAGTTAACTTACAAAGGTAGGGAGGTAAGTTTCCTACTCCCAACTACATTGTCTTCTGTCAATACGAGAAAATAATCAACAAAAACATTACAGAAATGCATTCAATTTTACAGCATGAAACATTATAAATACTTCTGGGTTCTAAAAAGCACATTTCTAGCAACTTACTTTCACTGGCAGAATAGTCCTGTGGATCAAGTATCCCTGACTCCTGCAGTGATCTAATACAGGAGTCCACCAGCTCCAGACCAGTGGTGAGTTCATCTTCTATGTCCTTCTGGCCATCTGTAATAAAATAACAACATAAAACATAAAAGAAAGCTGAAAGATAAAAACAGCTACATGTAACTAAACACTCACAACTCATGAAGGAATGGGTAACGCACCAGGATCACATATTCAAAGGAGGCTGGCCATACAGATCCAGGAAAATCATGCCATACTTTGAAGCCTGGCCTGCTATTGAGACAATTGAGGTCTAATCTTTAAAACAGCTACAGACATGTTTAGCAATACCCCCTGTGAGAACTTCGCAATATTCTAGCTGTTACATTTGCCAAGCCTAGCAACTTTTGCCGATTTTTGTTAGTTTGTGGTAGTGTTATCACACTATGCTATAATGACAAGCACATTACCTTGTGTTTGCCAATGAAATTGCTCTTCTGTTGAACTGTAAAGAAAAAAAAAAAGTGTTAATTCTTTTTTTTGTGAAACCATTCAGTGGTACACCACCAACATCCAGATCTAAATCTATTCTGATAGAACTGACTTAAGCATGTTAAATAACACATTCAAAATATATCAAGTATTTTTTTTTCCATGGATGACTTGCATAGCATTCACTCGGTAGTGGGGATGCATCTTCATTTCTTAAATATATAATTTAAAGTATACATATGAAACTCTCTGCCTAGCCTTGATATACAAATTAGACTGTTTCAAAGACAAAAATATTAACATTTTATCTTGCAACTTGTTTGGATCCTTCTATTTCCTCATTTTCTTCTCACTATTTTATTTTCTACTATATATGGCTTTGGGGAGAAAGCCATAAATCGCTTTCTCAAGTGTACAGTTACATGTGATTCCTACAAGAAACTACCTATATGACTTCTGGTTCTATTGAGCATTATGTGCATTTCTATATTATTCCAATGCACAGCAAAAGTAATTCAATTGGCCTACATAAGAGAGTGAATTTAGATGTGTTTGTGTTGCCATGTACAAACACTTAAACAATGGGAGCTCTTAATTTTAAAATAATGAGGATGCATATATGAGGATGGGTTAGGTAATTTTTTTTCTACAGTAAATAAAATGAGGCTATACTTGATTAGGCAAGGAGTGCACTTTCCTCCAAGGCATGATCTGCTTATCCTTCAATATACATCTTTCTCACGTGCCAAGAATACAGAAAGGATTGAAGCTACTCAGCAATAATCATTATTTTGATAACACTGATTTTATTATTATAGCCATGATTAAAACATTTTTCTGTACATTTTACAAGGTATTTATAGGGGAGAGCAAAATCGTATGTCACATCCATCAGTTAAAAAAGAAAGAAATTATTTTTAACTGTTCAAATCATAAATTAATTTCTTTCTGAAATGCTCTTTTTAATAAGCAAATGACTTTGCATTTTGAATTGTTTTCCCTGCTCCCAAAGGATCCTGGATCACTTATGAATATGTGAGTATCGCTCCTAACATCTATGTTCTGTGAACAAGACTCATGTAAATGAAACGAGAAGGTTCTTTTTGGAGGTCTCTTTTTACAGGAAAAGAACTTGGGTTAATGATTAATCAGATCTAATCGTTAAAAAAAAAATTGTATAAGTGCCTAATTTACATATAAATAGTTTTAAATGCACATCTTTTAATTTCTAGCCAGCACCAAAACTTTAACTCTGACAAATTCAGATCTGCAGATCATCATTAATTTCCAAATACCTATACAGATCTACCATCTGTGGTTGATACTGACTCACTGTAGTGGGATTCCATGGATTAAGAAGCTAACCCTGAGATGAAACTCAACTAAAATACTTGCATTCGAGTCCATCAAGGTTAAATATTTAAGATAAACATAGCCAGAGTCCTTTGGTAGATGATAACGGCAAAGGGGTAAACTGGAAGAAATGACTTTCATTTAAATTACCTGTTCAAATGCAGCCATAGAGGATGGTGACTAGGGAGAGTGGCTATTTCTGAAATAGTGATTTTTTCCCATTTGAAATTCTTTGTGCTCGATTTTCAAAATCACCAAACAATGGCAGCTCCAACTCATGCACTGGGAATTGAAAGCACTCTTCCTTTCTGGAATTAGGGTCATCCATAGTAAGTCATTTATTACTTCTCACTTTACAGTCCCACTTCCGGCGTCCATACCCCTATGTGATAGACGCTACAAATTTAATATGTCAGGTGGCATTTTTGCTGGCAGAATACATTATTAAATCTTTTTGGCAAGAGCACATTGATGTAAAGATTGTGTCATCTCATCTAAATTAGCAAGAAAGTCAAGTCTGTGCATAAGCGTGCATAAGTCTGTGCATGAGCGTTCTGTTAAAAAATTAGGTTTTTCCTTGTTAAATGTGTACTCTTCAGCTTGTAAACAGTTTCATGTAGTTGCATATTACAAGACTATTTCTTGGTACAAACCAAATCTCAGTCTTGCAGACAAACACATAACAAGTTTCCCTAGAAAAATCTGATTAGGATTTGACATAGTTTAAATTTAGACATCATGGTCTTTCCCTGCCCCTTGAGATCATATTTTTTATATATATATATGCATATATATATACATACATGCACACACACATTTTTTAAAGGAACATTCCCTTTTCTTGCCATGAAAGTATTCTCGAAAGTATCCTCCTAGGGGAAGGGCCTTCAAACTGTCTCACAAGGGTGACTGATCTGTTTGAGTGAGTACAACTGCTTTTTTTGTGGCTTTTCTGGGTGCTTTTCCAGCTTTACAAGACAACAGTGCAATTGACTGCACACTGACATCAAATTCATGAAAAACAAACACAATTAACAGAAATATTTCTCCCATTAATTTTTCAGGATGTTCAGCAAAACAGAGCTTTCAACTTGATAGTTTTTTCCTAAAGAAAAAGAAAGAAAAGGCTTAAAGCTCATTATCAACAACCTTTCTGCATATTCCTATGCCTTATTATATAAAGTTTGTAAACTCTACTCTTCTCCTAAACTGAGGAAGTTGAGAATAATAGATACTTTATTGAGAAGTTCTGAATTATAGAAAACAGAGTTGGGGGGGGAGTGTTAATCAGAATTCCATTAGTATAGTATGAGAAATCATCACTATAAAGTATTAATGAGCTGAGAACTCAGACAGGTATAATCACCACCTTCCTTAACGCAAAACAGAGTAATTATGAATTGTTGGCTGTATTCTTCTCTCATCACTGGTAGTCATCTCATCATATATCTACTTCAAACTTTCTGTTGCAAGTAAGACAACCATTCTACTTAATCATATTAGTGTGATGTGAAGAATCCTGTGTCACAGTTCAACTATGCAAGAACTTTGATTCATCTACCTTCATACTGTCTTTGGAAAATACAGGTTTATTCAAGGAATAAGCATTCTGCTTCCCAAGGAAGTAGAAGAACCTTAAGAATGAGAAGATAATGTTAAAATAGACAAAAGCACTACAGACTGTGATGTGTTTAGTTCTGAATGTTCAGCTTGAAGCTGATGACCACGCCTTCTGTAAGTATGTACCACACTGTGCCTAAAACTGTATCTTTAATATCCACCTATGAATGGAAATACTCCAGTGAAAGTTGTACCTCCTATGGCAAGTATGAGCAAAGTGACCACAGAACGGTCAGCTTGGTTCCATCTGCACTCACATGCTCCCGTTCCTGCACATGTGTAATAAAAGCAGCAAAGTAGGAAGAAATCTTTGTCAGTGGATGAGAGTTCATATTTGACCTTGCATTCTAGGAGGATGGAAGGAAAATGAGCATAGTATTCTCTTCATTTTGGGGGATATTAGACAAAGAGTACTCAGGGAACTCCACCTGTATCTGTACAGCATGGAAAGATCCGAAGTACAGTATTGCAGAAATACCAGGTTTCTACAATCAGCAAAGGCTGTCCGACTCTTACTAGAAATCTATCTTCATCAATTTTATTTCTTTTTAGGTGTGGAGAAACAACCACAGTCTGAACTACAGTATGTCTATATATAAACAACAAATTGGGCTTTGGGGAGCCTTAATTATTTTTCTCCTGTATCTCAACTAAAGATAAAAAAGGAGGAGTCCAGCAAACTAGCTCACAAGCAAGAGGGTTCTCCGTAGGCTACCAAAACGTCTACCGATGGCCAGCAGCAGAAGTGTCAGAATAACGTAAACTATATATGATCATTAAATGCCTCTAACCACAACTTAAGAGAGCCAAAAAGCAGTTTTGGTTGCTTGCAAGTGAACATTCAAAGTGACCTCAAAAAAAACCTTTCCAAGAAGACGCTTACGAGCTGTATTTCTATAAAAGTAATCGAAACACTCACAGGAAGTAACCCGAGGTGGGGAATATTGCTGAGCATCACAGCAGAATAAAAGCATCCATAACATTCATCCTTAGATGACAGAGCCATAAGGCCTGTACAAGCACCCAATCATTCACTTTACAAAAAAAGCAGCCCTCACCAACAAAAAGACACTGCCCTTGCGCTGGCCAGCTAAACTCCTAGAAGGGGGAACGTGCCTAGGGCTTTGGCAGCAGGGACAACAGCAGGACAAAGGCAGCTTATGTCAAGCCCTCACCCACCTACACATTTTGCACACTATCTGTTCACAACAGCACTAGCAGCAGTGTAGCTGGAGTTTACTTCTTTACGCTAATATCAGACTTGACTCCCTTCAGAATAACGTTTCTTGGTATCTCCCGAGATGTCCAGTGCAAGACCTACCTGCATTTTCTAACATGCTATGTATTATGCAGTTCATGGAAATTAATTTTTCTTAGCCTGTGCACCAAAATATGCCAGAGCACGTGCATACTAGGGCATACGGTTTGGTTATTCAAGTCATGGGCCTCAGGGCTCTTTCAAAGAACAATGTAGCACAGAAGCTTAGTTCTTGCTGGTAATGGGGGGAGGGCAGGGTCTTCTCTAAGTCACTCTGTAGCATGCCTCTTAATTTATCACAGAGTTGCATATCAGCGTGAAGGGCAAACCTGCACTTTTGTATCCCTTTAACTGTTCAAGAAACGTTTGCATGCCTGCACACTGTGTAGTAAGAAGACTGAAGAAACCTACGTAAATTAGGTGTAATTAGTAAGAGCAAAATAACGTGGCTGTTATAACTTACTGCATTCAGTTTTTGAGAAAGCGCTATAGCTGTCTAGGCCAAAAAGATTTTTTATTGTTTTCTAAAACAATTCATGAAATTGTATTTAACACCATCGGAAAACAGCTATGAAAGGTATTTTACAAGGACCTGTATCAGCACACAATCTTTTCGATTAATTCTGCAATGGAGTCACCCAAACATAGCTGTACAGAATTACAGGCAGATACTGTCTCACTGATTTTTAAACGGCTATTCTGGATGTTCTCAGTTTGTGGAAGGTGGAAGAAAAAAAAGATTCAGAGGCATTTCACAGAAAGTAAGGAGAGGTTCAAAACAC